CACAAATATAGTCTATAGTTGATTCAGAGCTCACCCCATGATGCGTCGGCATAAACAGAAGCGGCTCCAGCCCGCAAATTCTTAATGAGGACTGGAGTATGCGGCAATTAGTCGTGCTCCCCTCCCAATCCATATTAAAATCGCCAAGTAGAATGACAAAGTCGTAGGCAACGCTACAGTTCATCCTCAGTGCCTCCTCAACATCTGACCAGTATCCAGCCTTTGGAGGGGAGTATACAACCCCAAGGAGAACCCTAGTTCGACCGAGCTGCAGTGCAACGAACAGATATTCAGGGATTCAGGTCTCTTGTAGTACGCACTCGAGCCGACCGAGCGAAACGGCAGACAGAGTCAAAAACGCCGCCAGCAATGGTCCACGCCTCAGCACACGTGGAAACAACTCGCAAGGGATACAGGCACAAGAAGCCGATTACACAGAACAAAAAATACACGGAACAACAGAAAGCAACGTCCATCGCGCGCGCCTACGCACGTACTTCTGTACAGGTATAATACATGGGTATACACTAATACGGGTGAAGCTTATTTACAAATGAGTTTATTGAAACGTTTATCTGGTTATGAGAACGTATCAAAATGTCGTAGCTTCCGTAATGATTGTGGTAAAATGTTTCATATCCAACATGAGCTCAAAGCTTTGTGACGTGATGCAGCGGAGGCTTACATTTTACACGAAATTTCTGCACAGATGACAACCTCTCGATCGTTAGAATCGGCGAAGAAATTCCATACGACCGCCGTTGATTCAGTGACTCCTGCTATTGATTCTTCCAAGAGCGAACCTGTTAAACTTTAAAATCTCGAAATTTTATATCATGTGTAAGTTCAAATATTGGCTTGTGTACAAGCCTTTGTTTTTAAGATCTATCTTGTCTTACGTGTTAATACTTATTTTAAAGTAGTTTTGATGACTTTTACGCAAATAAAAAGCAACACATCACAATAAATAATAAAAATTTCTCATGAATTTCCAAGAAAAAACAAATTACCATTTGTACTGTATAAGAAAAAATTTATTAAAATTTGAAGAATAATATTGTTAGAATTATTGTCAATTAACTATAAGAATTATTATCGTTGTTGTTGTTGTTAATGTTGGTATTGTTTGGTTGGTTACAAGGGAAAAACAAACAGCGAGGATGATACTCCTTAGATCCTTGTTCCTTAAACAAAAATTACAAAACAGTTGTTTTTTTAATAATCAAGTCGTGTAATACATACACTTACACCTCCTAGGTTTGTTAACTAAAGTTTGGTAGTTCCAAAATTAGAACTACAGCAAAAGTATAGTCGTGTTTGACAATTTATTTGTGCACTGTAAGATATATTTTTTAAATTTATGATTAATTTAAATGGAAAAAGAGCCGCTGTCAAAAAAGTGGATATTGTTAAATTATTTAAGAGCTTATAAATTGAAGAACTATTATTTAGTTTATTATGTTACTGATACAGATCAGTTACGTACTTGATGATATGGTGAAAGGTAACAGTATTTACTTGCAGTCAGACTGAAGCACGATTCTTTTATAGATTTTTCATTGTTCGAAAAAAAAATTTCTTTCCAAAAAAAAGGCGTTAGTATTGCTGGAATTTTTTTGTATTACTGTACTTATTACTTAGGACTTGACAAAAGTTTCCAGCAAAAATTGTGCAATAGATTTGTAAAGAATCGTTTTTTATTATAAAATATTTGATTGAATATTGTTTAAAACTTTTTCTTCTAACATATCATGCAATATTTTTGCTGAAAATTTCTTTCCATATTTACTTATAAGACATGAGTAAATATAGAAAAAAAACTTTTTAGCACAAATAATGCATCACACTTCGAGAAAAAGTTACAATGCAAATTACTTAAAAATATATCCTTGCCTAAATGTGTCTGTAGTCAACGTATACACACCTTAACACATGTATTTATATGCTTTGTTAATTCTTTACAGGTACTAACTAAAGCCCATAAGCCTACTTATAAAAATCAGCTAAATATGAATATTATAATTACTCGGCTTTTGTAGGAACCCTCGTACCTTCAAATTGGGACAGCGCCATTTTCATGGCTCCACTCATTTGTAAATAAATTTTGATCAGTTTCTCATTGCTGATTCTGTAACCGATGGAACTCCCGTAAGGATATGTCTCTTACAGACTTGTACATACTAACAACTTCATTTTTATTACCAGCAGAGTATATTTGTAGCATATATATCATACACTGACGAAAAGGTTTACAAAAAAGAACGAATGATTTTTAACAACTCGAGGCTTAAATTAAGAATAAACAAATGTTTTTCAACAATTAACTTGAATCTTTAATAGTTAGTGCGTACAGGTATTTGGTTATATAAGTTACTACTGTCTTTTTTCCCCAATCTCTGATATACTTCTAACCAAATACTTGATTTATTAACTGTTAACAATTGAATACTTGCTTATATTAAAGTAAATGTATACGTATTTACTAACGACTAGTTAGCACGAGTAAAATATAAGCAACCTTTTCAATCGGTGTCATATATTGCATTCTTTCCGAAAGAAGTATTCCTAATCAACAGTTTTGTATTGCATTATATATAAGTTTCGATTATTTCTGTATGTAACTCAAACGAAGGAGTTCAACGAATAAATATAATATTCTCTCAAACAGTACTTGAAAAATTGCGTAAATTACCGAATAAGACAATGATGACGACGATGATATAGATGAGACACCATCAGCAATAGGAGTTGTTTTTTCTTTGTTCCTTTGGGCGCAGCTCAGCATAATTTGCATAGAGAAGAGCACGAGAGCGTAGAATAAGAATACTCGATGAGACTGCATGATTTTCTCTTTAATTTGCTTTCCAAGTAAAAATTATTCACGCAGTAGTCAATACTACAGTAATCAGAAGATTCGCACGCATACTTACATATTGGTGCCAAAAAAGTGTGTCACGAAGATAGTAGAAGGTAATTACACTACTATGGTAAGCCTTATCTTTCGAATTTGCAATTAAAAATTGTTTGTTGAAAGTGAATAATCTGTGTGCTATGATTTCAAGGATTTTTTTTTAACCCGTAATGTGCAGTAATTATTTTTCTATATTTTAAAATATGCTGTTCTGATAAATTATAACCGAACGGTTCACTTTGTTTAAAGGTAAGACTTTGCATTAGTTCAGCAGTTATTATGCATGATATTGTTCAACTGCTATTAATATTAAATAATAATAATTAAATGTCACAATTGTAAAAAAAGACAGATTCTTGTGTGTCAGTCGTTGTGCTGATATTATTTCAGTTATTATTTATAACACAAATATGATGATCATGATAAATATGGTATAAATAATTATTGAGACAATTTTTAAAGCGATAATATTGTTGAAAAAATTTTTATTAATCTCTCGTTAAAATCTACTACTGTGACATATTTATGAATTAATCTACACAGTATGATATCAAATTATAAAACTCACTACATGGTATAAGTGGTACACAAAGATGTTGTCGGATTGACTTCAAATAATTTGAAAAACATGAGTAATACAAAACTTATAACTATTGATTATAACAGAATACTATTTTCATTGTTTATGATTAAATTTCGACATAAAAAAGTTATGGCTTTTGATTGTGAAAACGCGTAAATTATTTAAAATCGCTAATATAATAAATATTTTTTTGCAACAATATTAACATTTGAGTTCAAGAAGTAGAAAAGCTGCACATAAAAAATACAATTTCTCTATGCTACATAGTGTTAAAGAAGAAATTGATTTTAGCTGTGTATCAAAACAAAAAAGATACGAATGGCTATAGATTTATAAAAAAGACTCTACTTCTTTCTACATGGCAGGATCGATGAATTCATCACCAAAGCTAATATTTTATGAAATATACATGTTTGTCTTTAATATTTATCCTAAATGATTAAATATCCAAATGAGATGCTGTCAAACGAATTTAATGATAACATGATCATAATAAAATTTTTTTTTATATAAGTATCATTATATAAATAACCAGCGGATTCATGAATGCAAAGCATTACGTCTTGCATGTAAGGCATGACCAATCACTGATTGTCAAAGCATAAAATGTAGTTTGAATTACAGGAGTTTATTGCAAAACTCTGAAATCTTATCTATACAAATTTTATATAAATACTATTAAATGTCAAATAAAAAGAATACACACGCTACAAAACAGTTTTTGGGCTGTTTTACAGCAATTTCCAATATTTCCTTTATTAGGACTACGATGTACATATACCTTCGAAGACGAAAATGACCTACATAAAAAAGTGTTTTTCAATAAAATCTGTAAGTATTGCATTTAAAATGTTTTCTGTAAGTGAAATGTTTGAAAGTTTTATGCTTCAAAACGATGTTTGGCTATTATTAACCAATTATTGTTTTTTTTTTTTTTTTTGTTTCAAGTGCTAAGTACAAACGTAATGTAAAAAATTTGAAGCTGAAAAAAAAAAATTTCAACCTTTTCAAAAAGAATTTCATTGTTTGAAACGTCAAGTACTGTTAAAAAAAAATTACCAAACAAACAAGTCTTATTTTAATGAGTCCTACAATTTTCATTCTTAACACTATTGTTACGTGGATCACGTACTTCCATCCGTTACACTATATTGTAAAATTTTTATTTCTATCTTTCGGAAACGACAAATGATTTTTTCGCTGTTTTGGTTCTATTTTGCTTTACAGAGCTTTATTTGCATTGCATGACATAGTAAAATGTATGATACAAACAATTGTATTTCAATGTGATTTCTAACTTTGTTTTGGAACACGAGGGTATATAAAATGTACCAAAAAGAAGTTATTGAGCGGAAAAATTGATTTTTCTCTTAGAGCGCTGCAGTAAAAACGCTGGAAAAATTTTTTTCTCTGATAACAACTACGCAAATCTAAACGTGTAAACGACCAAATTTGATATTGAACTCAAAGCTATTTAAAAAATTATAGCTTATTTCAAATTTTTCATTAAAAATCGTGGTAATCACGTTCATGCAACAGGAGATCAGAGTATGTGTTGCAAAAGTAATCGCACACATCACACCTGAAGGGATGTCGATAGGCTACGTGCCACGTGCGATCGCTGATCTTTTCAAAAGACCGTGAACATGCCATGCACCGATACAAATTGTGATCAATTTCGTGACGCCTGAGGCTCTCTGGATCAGCAAAATTTTTGTGACATATGTCACAACGTAATTGTGAGTGCCGGCTGTGCTTGTGCTCTTCAAGACAACTACTTCGGACAAAAGTCTGTGGGCACATGGTACAGGGGAAGTTGTGCTTGGCGCCAATGTGCTCGACGAGTCTCTTTTTGCAGGTGAAAGTTTCAGGACACTCGTCACAATAATGTATGTTGTGCTCGATGTCCGTGTGCTGCATAGAATGTATATTCTGGTTAAACACTTGTAAGCCACAGGTGGAGTTTCCGCTAGACATATCGCTCGCATGTTTTTGCATGTGTCTGGTGAAATCACTTTTTTGGCAAAATGTTTGCGAGCACAATGAGCATGTGAAGGGTTTCTCACTCGTGTGGGACCACATGTGATATTTAAGATGACTTTTTTGGCTAAATGTTTTCGAACATATTGAGCATATAAAAGGTTTTTCGTCCACGTGGATTAGCGCGTGTTCTGAGAGATGGTGTTTGAGTTTGAATCTTTTGAAACAAACTAGACACTGAAATGGTCTTTCGTTCGTATGAGTTCGCATGTGTAAAGTAAATTTACTGACATGGGCGAAGATTTTTTGCCAACTATTACAATGATACATTTTGATTCTTGATGATCCAAAGATCCAATAATCCTTGAGCACGTCTCCAGAATTATGATACACTCGTAATCGATGTGCCACTGAAGTAGTTTTGAGCCAGCTATTCAAATCCTTCAGTCGTGGTCGTTGGTATGAGATATTTGAAGTAAAAATGTTGGTGCAAGAATGCTGCTGGTTTACTTTGAACAAAAAAAAAAAAAAAATGTTAATTATATTAACAAGGGTTGTATTGGGTAAATACTTTATGTACAAGGTACACAATAAATAGATAAACACACACACACACACTCTCTCTCTCTCTCTCACTCTCTCTGAAATATGTGTAAGATCAAATCAATAAAAAATGCCCCGTTTTTGATCCCCGTTTTTTAATTAAAAAATTTTTACGGTATAACTCTCAAAGATAGGTCTTATTTTGCTTGTGATGTCATGTATAGTGAGGGAAAAATCATGAATACAGGTTTCAGTCATAGAAATATCATATCTTCTCTCATATATCTCTATATGGTTTCGGTACAGGTGACACCTATTTTCGGGATTTACATGCAATTATTATATCCATGCATATCATAAGTATGGATATCATTGTAAATTATAACTTTAACATGTAAGTCAGTCCATTTTGCCTACTCACTTACGTAAATGACTTTTTATGATGGCGGATGGTCTAACAGTATAAATAATTGTTTAATTTAAATTTTAACCTTACCTTTCGCTACGAGGTTTTCAGTTGTTTGGCTTAGTGACTTTTGTGGTATCTTAATAATTACTGCATAAAATGTTCGTAGTGTTTTTCGATACTACATATTATTACAAAATTTTCTTTTTATGCTACTAAGATTGTGAAAATACATAAGTTCATAATATGTAACTGTACATGTATATTCCAAAAACTTTTCATACTCAAAGAATAAGCTGCGTTGGAAGCAGTTTGATACTTAACACTAAAATTCTTCCTCTAACTAAAATCAATTTCTTAGCTACACGTACATGGTAATCTCATACTACTCACAAAAAAGATACCACTAATGATGAAATAATCGATATTTGATAAAGCCATCGGTCTAACAAAAGCCAATACGTATTGTGTGCAATTAAGAATCAAGATATGGATATACGTTTTGTGTAGGTTGTAATTCTTATCCAAAAAAAATTCCATACATGCTCTTAAACAAAATGTTTCCACAATGCTTTCCAAATAAAAACCATACTATCCTATGCAAGTCACACTCGAGCATCATCCACAGTGGATAATTTTCTTTATCTGTTCTACCACGTTTATCAGCTTAATAGTTGTCTAAAGAAATATACATACGAATAGGTAGAACATTTCGAAGTGATTCAGGACTTCGTGTGTAAAAATTAATAAGTTTAGCCAAAGTTTGTCCAAGACTATCCATCCTCAAATTTTAAGCTTTCTAGTGTTATAATTTGATGAATATTTGATAAGATGAAATAGTATGATATTAAAATGACGATAAATAATTTTTTTCTTAGTTAATGTATATAAATAATACTTTACACTTCAAACATAAAATACCATTGCCACAACTCTTTTTGTTTATAACCGATGAATGCCTAAAAAAAAAAAAAGCATTTTGAAATATACAAAAAACTTTTATACCATACATATGTGTAACAATGTAACACACAAAATTAAAAAAAATGCTGCATTCATGCAATTCTGTAAGGTAAGTTGAACGTTGATGGCTTGCTTGAGTATCATATTTTTTGTTTTTATTTTAACAATTTTATTTAAAGCCAATGTATTGCCTTATTTCCAAACACTCTCTTTTTTTATTCATCTCGTCTTATAAAGGATGAAAAATCACTCAATAACAATTACTAAAATTATTTGCTTAAAAATTTAACGTATTCATATAAAAATTTGTATACATAATTTCTTGATTATTTTTAAAATATTTAAAAAGTATCGTTTCATTATTTATAATTCATACTTTTCGAATACTTCGTACTTCAAAAGTCTTTAATATGTTAGCTTAGTGAGAATAATTTTTATTATTTATATATGTATATATATACATATTTATTTATTTTAGTGCTTTACGTCTGGCTCCTATAAAGGGCACTACATAGGGCACTTAGCACTTCTGGCGAAGGAAGGAAAGAGGGATAGGAGGCCTTCCATTGCTGAGAGGGGCGTAGGGGGAAATTAGGCAATATTTGCTGCTAGAAGGTCGCCTAAGCCGTTTTCGAGAAGCATTGCGTGGTGAAAAAGCACACGTGAAAAATCACAGAGGTACTTGCCCGAAAAGTCGCACTGGCCGGGAATTGAACCTCGGTTTCTCGCACGCCAATCCACGACCTAGCCGACCGAGCCACCGCGCGCTCAATTATATATATGGCTATAACGACGAAAAAAAAAAAACATTTATTTATATGGATGATTCCGCCGTAATTGGCTTAAATCGTGTTAAGAACTAGTACAACATTTTAAAACTAAAATTATGTATGCTTGCAGTTCCAAGATATGTGAAATGTTATGAATTTCTGGTTTATTACAGATGTGATCGATTTCTTGTTCTTTACACGATGGAAATCGCAAAAATCATCTCAAAATGTCAGTTCTGACCCCTGTCAAAAACTCAACTTTTCAAACAAAATACTCTCGCATACCAAAATAAAGCTCGCTTCCGAATATTTTACACGTACATTATAAACTTTAGTTATTATAGATTATATTCATACTGAAATTACCCACGCTTTTAGCAAATAAGTAACAACGTGTATTGCATTATTTTTGATTTGCTCGCGGTCATTTTTGAATTCCTTACTGGCATTAAAAAATTGCACTGGTCAATGATTACATGGAGTCTGGCAGTCTGCAGACTGGCAGAATCGCGCTAAGTTTAAATTATGTTTAAATTATAACATCTCAGAATAATTTAGTAAAATAAAGAAAAAATTTTAATTATTGTCATAACAGAATAAAGGCTTAGTTAAAATCAATTTCATTTACAATAAAACGTGTCAAATATTATTTTATAACTTTTTTTTATTGATTCATGTTAACATCGCACAGTCGGTCAGTAGGGTCACTGATGTAACGTGGTATGTACAACAATATGTAACTGTGACAAAACGTTTTTCGTCGCCTTTTTTTCATAAATATTGGTTAATACAGAAATGCAAATGTATTACGATAATTATTTCTTTGCTTACGTAATAGGTTTTAAATATTAATATTGAAACATATTTTAAACTTAGCGCGATTCTGCCAGTCTGCAGACTGCCAGACTCCATGTATTGTAATCTCACCCTGAAGCGACTGAAGCTAAGTTCTGTCGTGAGGAGACTTAAACCCATAGACATAAAAAAAATAGACTGCTCGTTCTTATGTCCAGCGCTGAAGCACAAGTCGAAAGAGACACAATATGGAACGTGTATATCTGTCTCTCTCGCTCGTTGTCAACGGTGGGGAGGTTGCATCATCTGGCCTTAGGGAGCCTGTACATGGGTGTCTGAATGTCTAATTAATACTGTAAGCCAAACCTATAGCGGGTGATTCAATTCGAACTGACGTTAACTGAATATTGATATAAATTGTTTTAAACAAGATAATAGGCGTCCTGTTCGTAACAAAACTATGTTACGTGATTGCATTATAATATTGGAAAGATATTTAGCCACCAAAACTAAAAAAAAATTTTCTAACGCTGAGTCGTTAAAAAGAGAGGTTATGTTGACAAAATTATTGTATTAACATGAATTGTAGAAATTTTTCATTAGATGCCTTAAAGACGTTCTAACCTTATAATGTAATCACGTTACATAGTTTTATTATAAATAAATTGTCTATTTTCTTGTTTAAATCATTTTATATCGTTATTCAGTTAACATCAGTTTGAATTAAATCAACCGCCATAGGTGTGGCTTACAGGCTTATGACTGTAAGACGCCCATATACAGGCACCCTTAGTTTACTAACCCCCACCGTTGGCAACGTGCGAGAAAACAAGCGACCTTCCATATTGGATTTTCCACCAATAAGCGTAGAGAGCGCGTTGTTCAACTACTGCTATACATAAACAAGAGTACAGGGTAAAAAATTTCCTCGATAAATAATATGTTTAAAATTTGTTAGGTGCACTGTTTTATGTATAAATATAATTCTATATGATGATCCGATTATTTGTAAAATATACAATGAACAAAGTTCATTAAATATTTCAATAAACAAATTTTACATTTTTTTTCTTTTTATAAGAATTTTAACATCAGAAGTCAGTTTTTTTGTTCATATCTGGCAATCTAATTGCGTTATCGTACGTACGAAGCTTTTAATTTAATACTGCTTTTCGAGGTGAGTTGTAATTATTTTCAGCAGTAAAGTGTAAGTCGTTAAACAACGCGTTCTCTACGCTCATTGATGGAAAATCTAATATGGAAGGTCGCTTGTTCCAAGCCTCCTGATTGGCTGATCAGTTCGGTGGCTGAAGAGCCCACCTTATATTATGACCCAATGTATTTTTTACTCCATGCTCCCCCTCGCAAGTAAAGTGACAGTCAAAACTCGAACTCGATCGCGATATCGAGAAGGACTCGATCAAACCCCTGCGGTATATATAACCATCTAAATTCCCCTCTCCCCGCTGATGGTTTCGTCAGACTTGAGCTCGCGCTACAACATTCGCACAGTACCTTTAGCTATAAGTATTTATTTGTACAGATATCTTTCGGTCTTTTATAACATTTGTGTACTTTTACTTTTACATCAGTGATTTTACCTCGCATTTGTACGTGAGTATAAATACCATTAGATAGTTGCTGTTATTAAACAAGTTTTGTGTGCTCAAAACTGTATCAATGATGATAATATTTTTCAAATGCATTAGTGCTATAGATGATATTAGTACACCTTGCTTGAGCACACGCATCCATGGTTCCTCCTGTAGCTGCACACGAAAGTAAAACTCCAAATCCACTTCAAGAACATGATGATCAACCACAGCATTCAGCGGATGGTGAGCCCGCAGGTCAGCCTCCAGAAACTCGTCAAGTAAGTCATCGATTTGTACTTGCATTACGTATAAATTTATATCTATTACAGAAAGTTTTAGAAAAGTTATAGTCTAATGCTTTTTTGATCTGGAGGGTATTCGTGGCTATATGTATATTTATAGAGGGGCGTATATATAATTCGCCTTGTTAGGTGTGCCTAGCGACACATAGTGGCCAAGTATGGTACTGAGATAACCAGGTGATTGGAATGAAATCATCAGTACAAACCACTTTAAAATACAAAAAAGACAAAATAAAAGGCTTTGATAGCAGAGAAAAAAGTTTTTAAGTGCTTGAGTCTACAATAACAATGTGGAGTTAGTTTTTTCGGTTGTCTCATGATCATATTAAAAGAAAACAACGAATAAACCTGCACTTGTTAGGTTACGTTTTCGTAAACATTTGGAGCTGCAGCTCTTCAAGACGGTCGGTGACTGTCAGTAATCGTTTCTGACGCTACTGTTTACGAGATAAATATGTGGTCATTATGAAAAAAACTATAACAGGATGAGATAAGTAAATACTTTGCTCTGTATTTGCAATCGAAGGAGTTAAATAGTTACCCCCACAAAATCGTTATTGTTGTTAAAGCTAATTATAATAAGAAAAAAATTAATGCAGAGTACAGTTGTAAGACAGAAAATTCTGGTTCGTGTAAACATATTGTGAGTGCATGTTTATTTTTAAACAGGTGAGTATTTAATATTAATTAATAGGGTATTGTACAATTAATAAAATTAATATGAATAGGAAAAGAAAGGATACCGGAGAGCGATTGGGTTACATAGATTTGAAGCAGCGGTGGGGTCATATATTTTAAACAAAAAGTTCACGGTGCGTATGTTGCAACAACATTTGAGAAATTTTGCCATAGAGCCTAAACTCGCATAAACTGTTACATCTCCTGTGCAGTAAAAAGTTCAATATTACAAATACTAAGTAAGTACCGCAGATGTTGAAAGTGTACTGACAAACGCAACCTACGTACGCAAGCAGTTTTTTATTTGGAATGTTTCAAATGAAAAAATCGTGGGTCGCCAGAGTCTGTAAGTACAAATACACCTATATACATTAGAAAAATTATATATATAGACATCTTATGTATATAGGTATTTTCATAGACGTGACTTCATGATTCATTCATAATCGTGACTCTGGCGTGCCACGATTTTTTCATTTGGAACGTTCCAAATTAAAAGTTGCTTGCGTACCCGTGCGCGCTTGTGAGTATACCATTCGGGACAAGTCCTTCACATAATACCTATATGGTTCGTTTATTTTGAAAACAAGATAGCGTACACTTGTACCACGGTCTATGATAAGACAGGTGGTTTGAAGTACCACCTCCAATGGGTTGCAGTTTTGTAGCAGTACCGATTACACTCGTCAGATAGCGCATGAGTAAGAAAGGCACAACATATAGATATAAAAACTATATGATATAATCGTTACTCTATTTATTTACAAATTTTACAAACTACTACTAATACGTAGAATAAGATACAATAGAGGCAATAAATTAATGAATTAAAAATTAGGTTGAAACCAATTTTGATAATTTTTTTTCTCTCTACTTTCTTTTAAAACATCCTTATTTTGTATGTTAACAAACTGTCTCATTCTCATGCTAGTGTAATAATTGATAGATTTGGATATTGCATCCTTTTTATGTAGTTTATAGGGAAACTGAAACTTATTGCGCAAAAGATTTTCAACAACATATTCGTAAAAATTGACAAGCTAATTATTTATGGCTTCCCTAAAATATTTTTCTATTTTATCAAAGAGTTTGTAAAAAAAAATATTTGCGTGGATGAGTCCTCCCCTATTTTTTAAGTTATTTAATAATGCTTCTGGTTTAACAAAGTTTCCGGGAAAACTATTTAAAGTAATTTGACATGTGGTGCATTATTCAAATTTTTTTCGTAGTTTTCGACTAATAAAGCCAGTGACGTAATAAGTAATACAACTTATCTTGAACAATATTGTGAGAAATGTTAGAGTTTGTATTCACACTTTTTGGTGCACTTTTTACGTTACAATTGTTTTCTCGTCTGCTACTGCCTTTTCGACACCGATCCTCCTCGTGGTCAACTTTGGTACTGTTACAAAATTGTAACAGACCGCACAAAACATAGAGGTGGTACATCGTACCACCTGTCTATTCGCTATGCGCCTATGTCAGGTGGCGCCGTCGAGTGATTCCCTCGCTAAGATCGCCAGAATGCATGGAGCCTTATCGGAATTTTTTTTAATAAATTTAAAAAAAGGTTATTAAGAGTGAATTGACCAAATGAATCAGTGATTTGAGTGTGTATTATGTTAGTGTACAGTAATAAATTTTGTTTGATGTTATTACGTGTACTACAAGATTGGAAAAAATAAAAACATGGATTGCTACTGCGATAACACAGAATATTTGAGTGCATTTATATGCTTACACTGGTGTACCGCTTCAAAGACACAAGTAATCCACGGAAACGTAATATAAATATGTAAAAGTTAACCTAACCTGTCATTAGTATTTACTTTTATTGAACTAATTTTTAGCAACAAAGATCGAAGAAATGCATTGGTTTTGCATAAATAATTACCAACAACTCAAATATTTGAGTTATCTACAATTTGTACATTTTACAACATAAAGCATTTATGTGACATTTTAACTTAAATAAACTTAGTTTTTAATCTTAGTTTTTAAATCGCATTACACAAACTTATTTGACTACTTACCTTTTTTTTTACAGTAGAATATTTGTATAAGTATAACCCGAATATAGATATAACAAGTTAATATTATACTAATTTTTCATGATAGTAAATTTAAACAAATTTGTAAGAAAAGGAACTTGAAGCTACTATCACACTCGGTACACTTGTACATTTTTTGTTTTTAAAACGTGCGCCTACCAATATTTTTTAACAAATTATTTCTCATAAATCATATTTTACGATAAAACTGTAGCTTTGACAATGATATGTATTTTTATTTTGTTTTTTTAGACTATAATACAAATAATTTACAAAATTTTTTGAATTATTAGAAAATTTTCAACTACATATTCTTTATACATGAATTAAAAAAATTAAATATTTAAATTGTAACTGTAATATTAACATAATCATAACTGTTATTTTTCATTCGTATTTATTTTTGTTATTTCAATTTTTATCATTATTTATATTATTCTTAGAAACATCTTTAGTGTCAAAATAATAGTAATTTTTATTATGATTATCATCGTCTAAATGTACATGACGGACTGCAAATAATTATTTTACATAACTTAATTACAATTGTTTAAAAATAGTATTATTACCTAAATTGGAACTATGTATAATTAATACCAAGTTAAAATTTTTGGATGAAGAATATTGCAAATAGTCAAAAATTTTGAATTACACGTTTCATCAAACTTTATACTTTTTCCCATAAATACAAATATGGGTTAACTCAAAAAATTTTATGAAACTTAAAAAAAATTGAATAATAAGGATGAGATTACATGGAGTGTGGCAGTCTGCATTACAGCCCACTTGAGTGAGAGAGAGGTCCGATTACGTAACCAATTACAACTCCCTTGGTCATGTATTCTTAAAAAAAAGCATTCAGGAGCATAACCTCAACTTGTTTATGTACATTCGAAGCAGCAACACTATAATAATCCTAATAATTATTTCAGATTCACCCTTTAGCGATTACAGTTCCCGATTCAGACACTGGTGCAGTTGATGCGACAGAAATGAGTGATGGTAATCCTGAACCACCAATAATATTGCCAGATTCAGATGATCATCACCAGGTCCTTAGTGGAGGTACTTAGAAATTCATAAGTTTTCTTTGAACAATAAGTTCGTGTCACATGTTTTCTTTGTTAATAGTCCCATTAACTATTTAATTCTACTATAAAAAGTTGGATAACTTTATCTAAAATTGATACACCCTGATACATTCATATTGACACCGTGATTCATTTCAAAAGATAGCCAGCTACGGTGCGTTACAAATTAGGACGAAATGTACGGAAACGTCCAAATATACATTTTTTTTTAAATTTTATTCACATTTATGAGAAGTATGTTAGGTAGGGCTTTATATGAGGAAGAACGATAAATAACCAAAAATTGTAAATGAATCCTGGTTAACATACCGTCACTTTTTGATAACTTCAGCTAGTGTGCAAAATCCACGAAATTGATTAATTATTTATGAATTCAACGATCCTATCAGTTCAAATCTGCAGTTGGCTGGCTGGTGCTTTTTTAAAGTGCATTATGGTGCAAATTAACGGTCATAAGTATAAACATAGTGTCACTTTACAAGTTGTGATAATTTTTTTATAGCAAATGTATAACATTTTAAAAGAGAATTATGCATTTATGTAATTTTTAAATTACACTAGTAAAAGGAGTATCAAAAGTGCAATTAATTTATTACAGTTAGTGTAAGTGTAATGAAAATATACATTTTGCAGAGAAGAATGTACAACCTATTACCGATGAGAGAAAAAAAAAAAGAAAAAAAGGAAGAAGCAGAAGAGACCGGGTAATGCAAAACGCCGTCGATTGTACTTGAAGAAACTAAGACTATCGATGAATGACTCGTAGTAACTCGGGAAAACTTATACTTCGACATGCAAATCATGGTAAGTAGTTTTCTCATGTACGTTTAAAAATACGTATTATTTTAAATGTTAAATTGGGATAAGTATAAAAAAAGGATACTACGATAACCAGTAGTTAACTCTTGTGCTAATAATATAGGAAAAAAGCTCTTACTAGTTAAAAATCGAGCTAAAATTTTGTAAATTACTTTTCACTCAAAAAAAAATTTGGAATTTGGGAAATTAGAATAATAAATTAACCATTTTATATTTAAAGTGAATAGTACTAAATAATGTTTTTCACGAATTGTTGCATCTCATTTTTTAAATAAAAAGGAAATAAAACTTAATTGAAAATGTAAATCACACTAATGATTAATCATCGTGCTTTCATATTATATTACGTATGTATAGCGTTATTATCTAGTAAGTAAAAAAGTGTTTACTGAAATCTATTCAATTATTGCTTCGTCTATTATTTCACACAATTAATTTTGAAAATCGTAGATTCGTAGATCGTAGATTCGTACGCAAAAAACTTCATTAATATTATTATTAAAAAACATGAATGCAGGTGCGTAGGGAGGAGAGAATAAATGCAGACGTATATAATTTATAATTTCTCAGGTTTTCCTAAACAAGGTGATATAAACCTTTGGCTAGCTTGTTTTTTTCCCTGATATAAGTACTATACGACCTCTAAAATTTTTTTTATTTTGATTTGATCGATGTAAAAAATTTATTTTAATTGATTTTTCCTGTTGTAAGATATTATAATTCGTAAAATCTAAATCTAAAATATCGTTTAATTTTATATAGGAATTGTTACGATTTTAAAAATAAAAAAACATACTCGAAAGTACGACTGACTTGAGGAACTTTTGCTAGTTTTTTTTTATCGTGATACCTCATTGTTGAAAAAAGGGGTTTTTTTTTTCACTGGTATCCAGGCATGACTGCTTAACAGAAGTTCCTTATATTTTTAATAAACTAAAAAATTTAACCACCACTGCATGAAGACGTGTACACTTTCATTTAAATTTTTTGGTTTTTATTAGTTATATTATAAAGTTGACATTACACCATAAAGCAGTGAGTACCAGAGTTGTAAATCTTAAAAAAACACTGATTTTCCTTACTTTTAGTAATTTGTGTAACATAGTTTTATGTTCTGAAAAGTGAATGAAGTATTAAAACATGTAACAAAATCAGTTTATTTGCTACAAGTTATATTGTAGATCTATGTGCCACCGGAGAAAAATGTAGATCCGAATGTTCTGCGTTTTTTAAATACACATTAGTATCTTAAACGTGATCGTTTTGGTTTAAATAATGATAACGTTCAAAACTAACTCGAAAAATTATTTAAGTGCTAATACTAATAAATACAAAGAATTTTGAAAAATTTATAAGAATATAATGATACTTATTTATCTAGAAAAAAGTTTAGCGGTCGTGCTTGAGATGCTAAAATTTAATTTTTTGCATGTAGCCGCTTGTTTTATTAAGA